TAGGTATATGCCACATATAAAACATCAGGTCGGGTCAGTTTTGGTTGACTTTGACTGGATCCAACCCAGCCAATAAGGTCCAAGATGACCAAGATCTAAACCCAATGCAAGTTAGGTCTTGGTCGTTCGGACCCAGACCCAACCCATGGGTCCAATATTTTGGTCCACCTGGACCCCTATCTGGTCGGTTCGTCAGGTTGGTGGGTCGACAGAACACAATTGTTGCCCCTATTGAGGGGATGATGAAAAGATAGAAACAATATGAACAAAAGGATACACTTTCAGTGAATTTAGTGTTAACGATGGAAGTCATTTAAAATCTGCGTAGAATATGTTGAATTTTTCCTCAAAATTGAGGAGAATTATAGCTTCAAATTCCATAAAAGTCTGACATCGTGATAGTAAGACCCTTTTTTATAAGAAGACATATAGTATAAGATCAGTGTACAAGGGGATCATAATCACACTAGGCCATTTTGATGTGAAATGGTTGGCTGGTGGTGTGCCATTGACCGATATCAAAATCTAAAAATATATATCTATAAGAACTTGTGATACATCTAAGTTTTCATATTCAACATATGATGATTAAAGGTTATTGTGTCTGCCTTTACCAAAAGTAAATGGGCAATATAGTACATAGCCCCTTTCTAATATCTAAGTTTCTTAAATGGAAAATCTCATTAATGACCACCATGTTTTGACTTTTCTCTATTAATAGTGGGTGCTCTGAAATGTGAATGTATTAAAAAGAAATACTAAATATTTAAAGAAATATTAGATTTTAGATGGAAAATCAGATGACATCACATTCGGGGTCAAATTCACCCGTGTACTTTATATCTGAAACACATGCTTTATTATTTTTACTGGGTACTGAGTAATTCCAAATATTTAATCCTCTGTTACATTTACATCGATTTGAAGATTTAAAATATGCTCAACACTTTTGATTCTGACTATTGAAACCAATGCATTCGTTTTTAAAGAACAAAATATAGACATGTTAAAGGGAAAAGATAACGTCGAGGGCATGGGCATATCGGCCCATATACCTGTAAGCAGGGACTTGTTATCCTTCAAGTCTGGTCTTCAAAAGGGAACAAGTCTCAAAATGAATCGTAGGAGACGATTATCTTTCTCCTCGCATCTTGAAAACTATTCTCTTCTCTACTCTTGATTCTTGCCAAGACACAATATCTGAACAACTATCTATCTCTCTGCTGAACTGTGTCTCTCAAAAGTGCGATCACTTCTTCAATCCGAAGAATAATCATGTATTTCAAATATTTGAATCTTCACCCTCCATCTTCATATGAGCTTATCTGCTCTTTTGAATTATAAATCTTGCAGGGCGCGATCTTTGTCTTCATAATGCCGTTTTACCTTCATGTATTTATCTTCTCACCCTATTGATCTCTCTTCTAGGTTATCTTCACAGGTGCAATCAATGGTGCTTCTCGAACCTTCGAACCCCATGATTTTGTAGGAGCAGAATAAGAGAATCATCATTGTCGTCAATGTTGACGTTAGTGGGCTGTAGCCACTTTCGTTGTTCAACTCAATCCATGCTAACCTTTTAAGGGGTGACAAAGCAAGGAGTCTAGAGTTCAATGGCGCTGATTTAACGAGAGAATTCCTTGTTCCCGAAGAAACAATTCCCTTCTTGCAGAAATCAATTATTATTCAGTCCGTAAAGCTTTTAAGGATTTAACTACCAGACAATGAAACTGACGGTGGATTAAGCCATCGTCGGACAGTTCAAAACTGTTGTGGAAACTGAGATGGGTTAAGCCATCGCTAGGCAGCTTTAGATGGTCGTTGAAATTGATATGGGTAAGCCATCTCTAGGCACCTTCAGACTGTCATTGAAACTGAGATGAGTTAAGCCATCTTTGGGTAACTTTAAACTGCTATTGAAACTGAGATGGGTTAAGCCATCTCTGGGCAGCTTTAAACTGCTGTTGAAACTGAGATGGTTTAAGCCATCTCTGGGCAGCTTTAGACTGCCATTGAAATCGAGATGGGTAAAGCCATCTCTATGCAGCGTTTGGATTGCCGTTGAGACAATCTTTGGCCTATTATCGAAATCTATAGACTAAGCTATGCCCCGATGATAGTCAAACAGGACACGCTTGAATGGCTAGAACCATACTCATCCTCCGTAGATTCACAATATATCCCCAAGTGGTTTTACTCTTAGTCTGTCATTGAGACTAAGTGTCCTTACATTTTCAAAGGAAAAAGTATATTGCCTGGCTCCAGGAATGGTCGAAGCCATACCCAATCGAAAAAGAATGTTATCCAAACTGAGTCAATAACAACCCGATCAATATTCCTGGTCTTGTTTTTTATAAACGTACACCCAACAAAATCGCCTCGGAAGCTTCACATATGAGCGAGAAAAGCCTCGAAAGGGCTGTAGCATTTGACCAATCTCAGATGGACTTCTAATCATCATAGACCTTACACCTTCTTCATTAAGGTGGCTCATGAGCCCCTTTTCCCAATTGTCTTAATTAAACTGGGGAATTGATAATTATTTCATTTGTCACTTCCTGATACAACTACCATCATTTCTTGGGAAAGGACCCCTCGGCTCCTTTACGAAGCTCTATAAATCCATCGGCTACCATGGTGGTAATCCATCTTCCTAGCGGTATTCGAATGTTCATATTTCTTCTTTAAAGAAAATATGTTCCCCTGTTCCTCTTAGGCTTCTATCCATCTCTCTAAACTGAGAGCTTACTACAGCTCTCCGTGGCAGTGAGGGCGAGCAAGAGCACACTACTAATACCGCTTCAGTTGTTGATCTAACCAAGGGTGACATAGGGTTTCACACAACTTTAATATTGTGGGTAGCGTTCGCAATGGACTCAGACCCGACCCATACCCACCGGGTATAGCCGATATGGGTCCAGATATGAATCCAATTATGGACCCGCGAGTAGGGTCTGGGTCCAATGAATGATACCCGAACAATCCCTGTTACGGGTCCAGGTATGGCTATATCCGACCTGATGGGTTCATGGACCCGTATGTATTATATATAATTTAATTTTAGTTTTATTATTTTGTATGGTTTAATTTTTTAAAGCATTTTTAAGTTCCCATGACCTTTTATAGAGCTTACAACCCAGAGATTCCACACACCTCTTCAATGTGGGATTAATCTCATTCTAATAAAAAAAACGAGATCTCAATGTTAAAAAAGGGGGAGAGACATGAGTTGGTGTGTCATGCGTGTCAACCTGGCACCATCCATTTAAGAGAGAGAGAACATTAAGGAAATGAGGGGATCATGCCTCTTTATTAAGGTCATAGGTATGAGTTTTTACTTTAGTCTATTGGGGGTAGTTATTGAAATGATGGTGCATTAATTAGCTGACAGTAAGCAGGCCATGGAGGCAGTTGTCTTAGGGGAATAAAGTGGGGCATCACATGATGAGAGAGAAAGCAGAGTGTGGAGTGAGAAAGGAACATCTAGGGCATAGGGGGTACACGTA